CCGAGATGTTGTCGACTAGGAGACGGATGGGTAATGTACATTTGACTTCGGACGTCGTCCTTCCGTTGCATGCGGCTGGGCCCGGGTCCCCGGGGGCGATAGCTTGAATTCCCATTCAGACCATCATCATCCCAGCCGGATAGGCCAAGATCCCAAGTCAGAGGCTAGCAATCCCAGCTTTGGCAAAAGCGCAAAACAATCTCCAGACACGCCCGGGGACCCTGCAGTCGTGGGGTTGCCAAGGGGCCGCCTGTCAGGTTTAAAGCTCCGCCAGTGTTCACCGTTGTCTCTGATCAAGACTCTTTCACTGACCGGGCATCTCATCCTGCCTTGGGCTTAATCCCACCAACCTGGAACCTTTGGTGTTGCACTGTATACCTTAGGTGCAGCCCTTAAAGTACCCAAGCGCGGCTTCCTTATCTCCAAACTTTTTTCCACCTCTCTTCTTGCTTTCGGTTTGCATATCCTTCCGGCAAGGGGCACATTATACATACACTAGGGTGCTTATACTTGACTGACCGTCTGTGCGCCGCCCCCGTTTTCTGCCGATATGGCTTCAAGTAAGTTCAGGTCCCGTCTTCCGATGTATGGGAGACTACGTACAGAATGGCATACACTCCAAACGTGACGTCAAACGTTGGTTCATGAGCCGCAAACCTGCATCAAGTTCGCTGACACACCCGGAATCTGTTCCGCGCAGTACCCCTACAAGTTACCATTCCCGCGGTAGCTGCTGCTGCTGCTTACGCCAATGCTCGATTCCTTGCTTACTACGACCTGGAACTACTCAGGGCCATCGTTCCTACCGTCCTCGGCGGTGCCTGGAAGCGCTACCGGGACCGTGTGAATCTCTTTTACCAACTTGAGAACCTCGCAACCGCCAAGTCGTCCGAAAACAGAGTGTTCCTTCGGTTCGAAGACCGGGCATACACGTATGCGCAGGCTTATGATACAGTCCTGCGCTATGCCAACTGGCTCAAGGACAGGCGCGGCGTCAAGAGGGGCGATCTCGTTGGCTTGGACTTTCAAAATACCGATACTTTCATCTTCCTCGTCCTCGCTACGTGGGCCATTGGAGCGTCGCCGGCGCTGCTGAATTACAACCTTACCGGTAACCCGCTTATTCACTGCGTGAACAAGTCAACGGCGCGGTTGGTCCTGGTCGATCCCGTTGTTGCGGGCAATGTCAGTGAAGATGTCAGGTCGGCTTTGGGGGGCGTCATCTTCGAAGTCGTGACGCCAGAGCTGGAACAAGAGATGTTGGCAATGGATAGCGTCCGCCCTGCGGATGAGCTGAGAAGCGGATTCAAGGACAAAGACATGGCGATGCTTATCTACACTAGCGGTACGACTGGCTTGCCCAAAGCTGCCATTATCTCATGGGCCAAGGCTGCCACTGTTGCCAATTTCACCTTTCGATGGCTCGGCACCAATGTGAACGACGTGTATTATACGGTAAGTCTCCTTCAAAGATTCGTTACATCACTTCAACTCATACTTTTCTCAGGCCATGCCTCTTTACCACAGCACAGCCATGCTGTTGGGCTTTGCTCATACTTTGGCAGCAGGTGCCACTTTTGCCATGAGCCGTAAGTTCTCGACTTCCGGATTTTGGAATGACGTCCGAAAACACAATGCCACGATTATCCAGTACGTTGGAGAGACGTGCCGGTACCTCCTATCGGCACCTCCCATCATTGATCCAGTTACTGGTGAAGACCTTGACCGCAAACATAGAGTACGCGCTGCCTTTGGAAACGGACTGCGACCGGATGTATGGAACCGATTCAAGGAGCGTTTTGGAATCGAGACGATCGCCGAATTCTATGGCGCGACCGAAGGCACCTTTGCGACGTGGAACAAGAGCCGAAACGACTTCAGCATGGGTGCAGTGGGGCGAAGCGGTAGTCTCTATAACGTTATCTTTACAAGAGAGGTTGCCATTGTCGAGGTGGACCATGAAACCGAGCTTCCTCGCCGAGATCCCAAAACCGGGTTTTGTACCCGAGCGCCCCGCGGAGAGCCAGGCGAGCTGCTCTTCAGGTTACCGCCTGGCGATATCAACTCTCGCTTCCAGGGCTACTATGGCGATGAGGAATCAACATCGAAAAAGGTGATGAGGGATGTGTTTAGCAAGGGCGATGCCTGGTTCCGTACCGGTGATGTGCTGCGCTGGGATAACGAGAACCGAGTTTACTTCAGCGACCGTATCGGTGACACTTTCCGGTGGAAGAGTGAGAACGTCTCGACTGCTGAGGTTGCCCAGGTGGTTGGCTTGCATCCCGCGGTTCTCGAGTGCAATGTCTACGGCGTCCAGGTGCCCAGCCACGAGGGTCGCGCGGGCTGCGCCGCCGTGGTTTTGAAGCCGTCGTGCTTGGTGCAGACAAGCGGTGAGGCGGCTAGAGCACCTAGGCCAACCGACGACACCGTCAAGAGTCTAGCTGAGCATGTCAAGAGGGGGCTCCCCAAGTACGCCTTGCCTCTCTTCCTGCGCGTAGTGCCGGAGGGAGGCCTCCAGGCGACAGGTACGAACAAGCAGCAGAAGCACAACCTACGGAGCGAGGGCGTAGATCCGGCCAGGACGGGTGAGGATGAAGTGTTCTGGCTAAGGAACGGTACGTACGTCAAGTTCGGTGTAGCGGATTGGAAGGAGCTTAATGGGGGTAATGTGAAGCTTTGAGATGGGCTGGCGTTGGTTTTGGCGCAATCTTTACGAATGGGTTCAAGTTGAATAAAAGTAAGGTAATCAGGAGTCCGGCTATAATTATCATGGAAAATCACGCCCTCCCAACCACTCCGACATGGGTCGGTTGCCCAGAACATATTACCATATCGCAGTGAGACATATCTCATGGTTCTCCTTATTCCGCTTCAGGCCTACTTCATTTGTTCTTTATTGGCAGCCACGACCAGCACTTATACCCAAGCTCCGATGCCACTTATTACAGCCCCGGAGCCAAAACAATCGTCCGCCATAGGCCGGCGTTAATCGGGAGCTCCGGTAGTGGCACGGGTGAGCAACTGCCGTGATCTGCCGAATTATTAACTGTCCGTAATGTGGATGTGTTGTTGGATAATCGCCGGCAAGCCGAAGCTCTAGTGATGAGAATCACCCCGTGGCCGAGTGAGTCGGCCTTCAGATCGAATTCGTAGTTATTGCCCGAGGCAAGACGATGCAGCTGGAAGCGCCGCCTTCTCAACCATGTCCTCTCCACTTGATGCCGAGCTCGCCATTGATCCCGACACCCGGAGACTTGGAACCAGGCACACCATCGGACACCCTTGTTGTTTCCGGCTGTCGGCCTCCACATGTGCGGACGCATGCTTTCCCCCGCCCGCCCCTGGACGGAGCACGGAGAGGGCTTCGGGAGGATCCGGTACTTGTTGGCTACACAGTAGACTCACCACGAAGCATGCTTCACTCTACCTCCATCCTTTCAGCATACGTTCGATTCAAAGCGGAAACGCCATAGACGATTGAACAAACAAAAAGAGAAAGGCTCAAAGGCAAGCATCAAAGAAGTTCACGAGCCTGCGAACCAAATTAAACAGGAATGCTCCCCCACACGGATCATGACCGTTGCGTGAGCGAGCACCAAATGACATAATTGTTATAGCTAGTGTTGGCATCCAATGAGAGATGCAGGTGATTGCGCAATGAGCCGCCAGGCCGAAAGAGGGAGCGATTGCCCCTCGTTCTTCAGGGCATCCTCATGGAGGGGCCAAATACACCCCGCGTTTTGGAGCTCAAAAAGACACAAAAAGGTTGTCTTGGCCCGCTTTGGCTTCATGTCATGGTGGTGTGTGTGATTGTGTGAGACACTACAGCAAAGACTTTAAAATTACTATTGGATTTGGTTTGGGATGAGGCACTGCAACAGGTGATGGAGAGGGGGATGGGATGGCACACAGCCGAGAGTGCAGCGGGAACCACATGTAATCTTCGGGGAGCATGTATGGACGAAGAGACGAGGGGGTATCCTGACTGAAGAGCTGCCCCGGTGGAAACAAACGGACTCGTGAGAACCTCGATGAGTTCCTTTGCTACGTATGTAAGAAAGTGAGAGCTGTACTGTACAGAGAGCGTGTAACCTTGGTGGCTTTTGCAATACGTAAATTACACTACTTGTCAATGCTTTCTAGTCGTTACAAGACCGAGACAGCCATAATGTTCATCTGGCCAGAACGGGAAGCCTTTCGGCGGCGACATTGAGGGATGTAATAGATTCCGGAAGCTAAAAGATGTACGTACTTCTGCGTGTGTGTGTGTACATGGCGCGAGCTGGAGCTGCCCGGAGGGATTAGTCAAACCGCAAAGTACCATAGAGAACAAGATGCTTTAAATGCCTCCGCCGCCCCTCATCACTCCTTGCATGCTCTGATTTTAGTTTCAGCTTCTCTCTTCTTTCAACTGTTTCTGCTGTTTTTCCGAGATACCCATTCCTCTTTGCTCACCACACATCATAATTCACAATGGCCTCCACCGACCGCAACGCTCCGTAAGTCCTCGAGCCTCCTTCGTCATCACTATCCACAAAGCTCGTTTTGCGTGGATGAACGACTGACCCGTGATTCCCGATGCAGCCTCCGCCTGGGCACCATTGCCCCCAACTTCCAGGCTGACACCACCACGGGTCCCATTGACTTCCACGAGTTTATTGGCGACAACTGGGTCATCCTCTTCTCCCACCCCGAGGACTACACCCCCGTCTGCACCACCGAGCTCGGCGAGATGGCCCGCCTTGAGCCCGAGTTCAAGAAGCGCGGCGTCAAGCTGATCGGTCTCTCCGCCAACACCCTCGGCAGCCACGAGGGCTGGATCAACGACATCAAGGATGTCACCGGCTCTCAGGTTCAGTTCCCCATCATTGCCGATAAGGAGCGCAAGGTTGCCTACCTCTACGACATGTAAGTATACCCACCACATTTCACAGATAGGGAGGGGGGTTGAGGAAAGTGGGCATCGAGTTGCTGACACTCTGTTCTACAGGCTCGACTACCAGGACACCACCAACGTCGACGAGAAGGGCATCGCCTTCACCATCCGCTCCGTCTTCGTCATCGACCCCAAGAAGACCATCCGCACCATCCTCGCGTACCCCGCCTCGACCGGCCGCAACTCCGCCGAGATCCTCCGCATCGTCGACTCCCTCCAGACCGGCGACAAGCACAAGGTCACCACCCCCATTAACTGGGTCCCTGGTGATGACGTTATTGTCCACCCTTCCATCAAGGGAGAGGAGGCCACCCGTCTCTTCCCCAACCTCAAGGCTGTCAAGCCCTACCTCCGCTTCACTCCCCTTCCCAAGGACGCTTAAGCGTAGGGCGGACGTGGCTTATCTGAAGTGTGCTGCGACGGTTTTGGGAGGCTGGTTTGGGGACTGGAGTTCTCTCTTCTTTTTCTTTCGCTCTCAAGCGTAGTCACCCAAAAACAAAGATGAACAAACAGATAAATGAAATGAAATAAGAAAAAACTAATGACGAACAACAACCGTTCCTGACTGCTGCACAGCTGGCCGTCTCTGGCGATTAATTCGAGAATAAAAATTATAAATAAAGACATTGTTCTTAAGTGATTCACTTGGCCTCGCAGTCTTCGACTTACTGCTCTTGGCCGCCTGGCATGCTGGCTATCGAGCTAATGTCACGGATGGGCAGTTACGTGAGAGTTCAAGAGATGGCTTTCACACTGGCCTGGGTTGGACGTTGGCATGTAAAGATGGCCAAATGGCGTGGTTTACAGCATTCGGCATCTTCAACATCATTCAACACATGCAAAAATCTAGAATAGGTCCCGCAGGACTAACAGCTTACGTCTTTGTTCTATGATGGTTATTTTGTTCTTTTTCTGCTTCTTTTTCTTTACTGTACTGTATGGATGCTAAGAAACATGCAAGTCGTGAACCTCGATATTAGGAACAAAAGGTTGCATACGAATTCAGGGTTGGCACGAATCAGTATAACCGACGGGTATTATACTAGTGCATGCGGCTTGTGTTAGACCCGAGGGCTACGGTAGATGATTGGAATCTCTATTTTTTCTAATTT